TAGCAGTATAATAAATATTATAATATTACGATATTAAATGGTACTGATGTATTATTATTGCATTATTATGGTTAACGTCGGGTAGACAAGGTATATCGGCCCACCAAGTGATAGGATTTAAACCAGCCCTAAAAGATCCATTTTCAAATGAACATTTCAAAAATTGATCTAATAATAAATTATAATTAATATTATTATATAATAATAATTAATTAATCCTGACCATGACGCCCCTACAGTAAACTGGATGCCGCCTGCTATGAGTGTAAGTATGATTGCGCGTACGTCAGTTGATGTGATAAGTACACAGATTTATAATTTAAAAACAAAATAAGAAAATAATAGATAATATAAGAATAAAAGTACAATGTTTATTGTTTATGATGGTACTATAAAAACATTTTTATATTTAGGTATGTATAAATATATTTATATGAATATGTCTTTGGCTCGTACGCATAATAAATCTTTTTAATATCTGTGCTACTATCTACGTTTAATAATTGGATAATATTCTTTTTATACTCGTTTCCCGCCAATATTGACARCATATATTAATCGTGTTAAACTGATAACGTTAGTCAATACAAATTGTTGTTTTTTATAAGATGATGTTGAGGTAGAGGTCCGYGAGATGGTTAAACTTATAGGTAATAGCCAGTAGGCCGTAGCATTGATCAATTTGATCATAAATAATATAATATTCKACAGGTTAAACATTTTAAAACGTTTTCGTTATTATTGTTTTGATTTGGTTTTTTACGWACTGCAATCAAAATTGCTTTAAAATATAGTAAACATTAATAATCAATTGACATGATGTGTCTTACCAATACATCATACATTGTTAATTGTACATATTATGCAATTTCGAACAGTGATTTTGTGTTTTGGCATTAGTAAAATAAAAAAATGAATAATTTTGAACACGATAATCCCGGCCTGAGCATATTTCAGGGCTCTGATTTGGCCAGTATTCAGGTGAACAATAACTTCCAAGATGACAATGAAGATCATTTGGATGTACAGAGACTTGATCAAGAGGTACAGTAATTGTTTTAAATTAAATGCGCTCAGTGCCCACCATCTTTCTAATTTCCACAAGCTTTTGTATCCATGTTTAAACTACTCATATATTTTGTAAAATTAACTTTTTTAAAACATAAAATAACTGCTTACATTACTTTTAGTTTTAATTCTGCAAAATACTGTCATAGATCAAACACATTTTGTGTTTTAAAAATCAGTTTATCCTCATCAAATTATCAAAAGTAATATTATGTTAAAGTTTATAACAAATATTCAAATTTCAAATGCTTATGCCTTAGAAATCAACTTAATACGGGAATATCGAATTAGACTAGTAAACATTTTTAAATATACTACCTACCTACCAAATGGCTTATAAAAATTTTAATATGTATTATAACACCAAAACATTCCTCAAATATAATAGGTACTATATATACCTCATTTGTATATAAAAAAAAAAAAAAATACTTGAATATTTTCAAAACAGTAATGTGTAGTTATATCTAAAGTCTCCACTATTTATGTTACATAGTAGTAACTATAAAATATGGTCTTATATAACATGTGTATTATAACAGTGTTATATAAATATAAAACAAGAGTATAAGAGGAGATTTTTATGTTTAATTAGATTTAAAAAACCTAGTTATACCGAGTATAATTTAATGTATTAAAAAAAAAAAAACAATGTTTATATAATATAATTTACTTTACCAATGACTTGGTCGCTGGTACCATCACAAAGAACAAAGATTAATACAATGTTACTTTGAAACATGTAGCTGGCCAAAAGAATAGTATTATACATTTTGTAAAGTAATTAAAAATAGTTATTTTAATGGATGGCAGGATTCCGTGATAATACAGGACAGATGTGAAATGACACATGCGTTTGGATTTGGGATGCATGTTTATTAGGTATAATATTAAGTAATAACTTACAAATACTGTAATGATGTGAATCACCATTACAATTTATTTTTTAAATAATTAATTAATTTTTATAMATTTTAAAATGCAACAATGGTAAAATTATAGTATGTTGTACATTTTAATGATTAGCTGCTTAAACAATTAAAATTTTTAATATGGTTTCAGCTAAAAATAGAATTGGATGAAGTTTTTAATGAAAGTGGAGCTAACATGAGTGTTATTAGTTCAAGCCATTGTAGTGATGCTTCTGAAGAAGGTAATTAAATTTGTATGTGTAATAGTTGTTGTTGATGTTCTGTTTACATATATTTTGTTACTTGGCAACCGCATGTAATATATTATTCTATACTTTAATTAAAATTTATATTTATTGCATTATAAATAATATATTTCAGAGCTTGAAAGTGATGAAAGTCACTCTAGATCTATTCACAAACCAAAGAGAAAAAAAGGATCAATTCTTTCTAACCCAGCCTTTCAACATTTGCAACATTATATGAATACAAACTTTCAACCTGATTTCCATAGAGATGGTGATATAACAAATAACAATCACTTAATTTAATSATACACTGATAATTTATTTATTTGTAATTTTTAGGCTCATATCCATCACCCATACCACAATATAATCCCCAAGTTAAAAGTGATAAAAATATCACTTCTAATGATGCTGCACAAAATATTAGCAAGCAGTATGTTTATGAAGGTAACATGGTTTAAATATTTCTCAAAGATATAAGAAAAATATACCTACTACTAATTTCAATCCACTTAGTCCAATGTCCAATACTCTTATTACAATATTGCATATACCTAGAACATCAATTAATTATTGTTTCACAAAGTGCAATAATAATGTCTTATTAATGAGCTGAAATTAAGTTATCACAATGTTAATTGAATGTGATAATTATCGGATTCACATAATATGTAGACTTAAATTATATTTTAAGTTTTTAAACATAATTTCTGAAATTCAATGGTTATTTTAAATATTTTGTATTATAGTATATTTAAATGTGTATA